GACTTATGTAAATAAAAAAAAAATCACTCATTTCATAAATAAAATTTATATGTTCTTCATGTAGTCATCTTAGAAAAAGGAGCCTGTAGACCTTGTACTCTGGCAGAGGAGAATGGCCTCTTCTTTGCTTAATTTGACAAAGTCTTAAGTGTAGCTGTTTGGGGTCAGCTACTTTTGTTCTTTCCTATGTTTTTATTATTTCAGTGTCCATTCTGTATTTGTTTAACTCTTATCTGAAGGGTTATTGAGAAAGAAAGATAAAACCTTTATTTTTTGGTTTGATAATTCTCTGTTCTGTTGCAGCCAACTATTGTCCATTGTTGTTTGCTCTTATCAAAATCTAATATTTATGTAACTTCTAGTTAATGAGAAAAGAGAGATTCCTGATTAACCATTATGAAAAAGGAGTCTATCAGAATCAAACCATGAAATCATGTAGCTGAGTCATAATTAAGATGCTGCACTATTGAAACTTCAGATTGCTGTTATAATGACTGATTTTTTTTTTCATGTTCTTTTCATTTTCTTCTTTGATTTCAGGGTGTAAGTTTAGGATCTTTATCTGAAATTGATGATCTGGCAAGTACTTTTGCGAAGGTTAGATTCTTTTTTCTTTAACTTATACGGTAATTTAACGTGTATAACATACTATTTTATGAGTTCTACATGTTCATTTAATTCCAATATGTTCTGTTTATTAAGACGATAAGTTTAGTCATTACACATTTGCTACAAGGTTAATTGTTACTTGGATATCAGAATCACAAAAGCTAGCTTGGAAACATGTTTGTTAAGAGCTTAAAAAAACTGCATGTTATTGGGCTCCATAGGTTTAATTGGTTTTATGATGCATCTCAATTTAAAAGTATCAAAACGAAGTGTTTTAATGGGCCCTCATGGTTTTGCCTGAGTAAAATGGAAAGATGCTAAGTTATAAGTTTGAGGAAGAGAAAAAGGTGGAAGGGGCATTTGATCCCCTTCTATGGCGTTGATTGTTCCCTTGATCTGTGAACATATTTTGCATTATTTGTTGGTTGTATGACCCCCTTCTATGGCGTCAATTGTTCCCTTGATCTGTGAGCATATTATTTTGTATTATTTTCTTAAAAATTGTTGATAAAAATTTTAGAGTTTAGGAGAATGAGAGAAGAAAAATTGTCATGATCGAGAAAAGTCATTTCCATAGAAGAATACGAGAAATATAAATAAAATTAATGAAATGAAAGTATTTTAGTGTCACTGAAAGCCAGCTGAAGACATTTTGTCAAATTCTGCAGAAGCAATGCTCCATAGAGGCTAGAGAAGGCTAAGAAAACCAATCTTTCTACCCTATACTTGACTGGGTCTTTGAATATTCTTGAATTCTGGTCCATCCAGGTACTCCAGATCACCACAAACATTGTAAATGTGTCAAAAGTGTTCTTCTACCTTTCCATCCTTGATCAAAAGCAAATCTTTCCACCCGGTGATTTTCAGTACAACTAACACACACAAGATCTGCTCTCTTCCCCTTTCCAACCTTGATCAAAAGCAAATCTTTCCACCCTGCTCTGTGATGAGACATATTGCCTCTATTTGATGTTAAGCACAAACATTACACCTTTTATTTTATTTTAAGTACCCCTCATTTTCTTTTCCTTTGAATGACACTTAGCTTTCTGTCTATCAAAACTCATCTAACAGAAAATGTATGTTCAGTTCATCCTCTCTCAGAGGCATTTAAGATCCTTCCTTGTTTAGACCTCCTCAATGCACTCGCATACTACTAGCTTGCAAAACTCATTTCACAAAAGCATTTTGAGTTACTTATCCAACCCGAGGATCAAGGGATGCTTTCTAATGTTTTTTTTTGTTGATTTGTGAATTTGTTGTCCAAATGCATAGTTGAACAGAGTTGTAACCGGACCAAGAAATCCAGGAGTTATTGGTGACAGAGGATCTGGATCATTTTCAAGGGAAAGTGAGTTCAATTAATTGTAAATTTTGTTTACATTATCTTGTTGCACCAAATCAAGAAATTTCCTAGACTTGATATTCTGTAAATTTGCTTTCTTAGTCCTGAGATGACCATGCAGTGGTTTAGATTTAATTCTCATATAATTGTTGTTAGTGTATTTTTAAGCCAAGAAGTATATTGAATGGAAATGCCTTCCATTCTTTGTTTTCAGCTTGAAAGTTGAATTGGATGTTTTATCCTTGTGTTTTCTCCTCCAATACATGGACTTCACAAAGCCTTTCATAAACTTTTTTATGATTTTGTTTAGTTTTTTCCACAAGCCTGGTGAGTGGTTAAATAGTTCTAGCAGAAGTCCTTTTCTTTGCATGCAGGTCAGAAGGCCTTTTCTTTGCATGCAGGTCAGAAGGCCTTTTCTTCAGTAAGATGGAGAGTGGCTTCTTGGCTAAAATGGTTTTTTTCTTCATTAACCATTTTGAGATTGATTTAGTTGTTCTCATGAATTTCTGGTACATCCAGTACAATCAATTTCTGATGTGTCAGATCATTGTTTGTCTCCCAGTTTTTGAAATAAAAGAAATAATAAGATATTTTGCATGCATGCATACTTCACATCACTTGCTGGTGACTAGTGCAAATGATTTCTGTTGTGTTTTGCGAACCAGAATGTACATGATTATTTCCACCTTTCAACTTAGCATACCATGGCTAACAGTTTGCAGAGTAACATATTTTTAGGTCAGCATTACTTCTATAGGGGTGTCTAAGTATGCCTCCTGCCATAGCATCTAATACTAGTTTTCTTTTCAGGTTCATCTGCTACTGATTGGGCACAAGATGGAGAGTTTGCTGGCTGGTTAGATCAACAAATGTTTTGTGCAGAAAATGCTCAGGACAGCAAGAGATGGTCATCACAGCCCCAGCCTTCTTCGGCTCGTTTCTCAGAATCTAAACCATTGTACAGAACTTCCTCATATCCCCAGCAGCCACTGCAGCAGCCTCACTTCTCAAGTGAACCAATTCATTTACCCAAATCAAATTTCACATCTTTCCCCCCACCTGGTGCTTCGCCACACCAACTCAATGTTGCTTCTCGTGCTGGTGGACTGCAGTCGCACTTGTCTGCTCCAAACCTCTCTCCTTTGTCCAACTCTAATCTTCATCTGGCTGGTTTACAGCATGGGTTGCATTATGGTGGAAATCTGCCCCAGATCATGTCTCCTGGCCTTTCTTTTAATAATAGGCCACAAAAACATTGGCTTAATCATGCTGGTCTGTTACATGTAGATCAGTCTAGGCTCTTAGAGAGTATCTTGCAACAACAACTATCGCATCAAAATGGCCTAATGTCTGCCCATTTGATGTCACCACAGCAGCAATTACAACAGCAGCGACTGCAGTCTTCACTTCAACCATCACTGCCTCATTTTGCAGCAATGCAATCTCATTTCTTTAATTCCCATCCTTCATCATTGCATATCAGGGATCAAAAACATAAATCATCCTCTCAAAGAAACCGGCGCTTTTCGCAGGGATCTGACACTAGTAGTCAGAAAAGTGATAGTGGCTGGGTGCAATTCCGATCCAAGCATATGACAGCTGATGAAATAGAGAGTATTCTGAAAATGCAGCATGCTGCCACTCATAGCACTGACCCATATATAGATGATTACTACCACCAAGCTTCTCTTGCCAAGAAATCTACTGGGTCAAGAATTAAACACAATTTCTGCCCATCTCACATGAAGGAGCTCCCTTCTCGATCTCGTAACAGTGCAGATCAGCATTCTCATCTCCATTTTGATGCTCTCGGGAAGATTCCTCTCCCACCCATACGGAAACCTCGCCCCCTTCTTGAAGTTGATTATCCTAGTTCTGGTGATGGAAACTCTGAACAAATCTCTGAGAGGCCTTTGGAACAGGAACCTATGCTTGCAGCTAGAATCACTATTGAAGATAGCTTATCTCTTCTTCTTGATGTAGATGATATTGATCGTTTCCTGCAGTGTAATCAGTCCCAGGATGGTGGGGCTCAGCTCAGGCGTAGGCGGCAGAACTTGCTTGAAGGCTTGGCAGCATCACTCCAGCTTGTTGACCCACTTGGCCAAACTGGCCAATCTGTTGGACTGGCCTCGAAGGATGACATTGTGTTCCTGCGGTTAGTATCTCTTCCCAAGGGTCAAAAGCTTATCTGCAAGTTTCTTCAGCTTCTATTCCCTGGCAATGAACTCACCCGTGTTGTCTGCATGGCTATTTTCCGTCACTTGAGATTTTTGTTTGGTGGCATTCCCTCGGATACAGATGCAGCTGACACAACTACAAATCTCACAAAGACAGTTTCTGCATGTGTAAATGGCATGGATCTTCATGCATTGAGTGCTTGCCTGGTTGCAGTAGTTTGTTCTTCGGAGCAGCCACCTTTTCGGCCTCTTGGCAGTCCTGCTGGGGATGGGGCCACAGTTATTTTGAAATGTCTTCTTGAAAGAGCTAGTAAACTATTACATGGTCCTCAGGCTTCTGCCAACTGTGCTATGCCCAATTTTGCTCTTTGGCAGGCATCATTTGATGAGTTCTTTGATCTTCTTACGAAGTACTGCCTGATTAAATATGACACCATACTGCATTCAGTCTATGCAAAGACACCACCTAGTACAGAAGGTATTGATTTGGAGGTGCGTGCAGCTACAAAACAAGAAATGCCTGTTGAGCTTTTACGAGCTTGCCTTCCTCATACGAATGACCGCCAGATGGAGCTCTTAAGACATTTTGGGCAGCAACGCAAAACCAGCACTGGGCTGAGTGCACATCCAGGGAATAGTGGCCTCATAAACTCTGAATCAGTGAGGAGTTGAGCGAGGAAAGAATTAAAGATACTGCAACTGGATGACCATTCTGTGTATATCAAGCACAACGCTTATTTGGATACTAAAATGGTACTAATGTGCTTTGGAGCTTGGGACTGGCGGAGATTCACCTTTATTGTGAGTCTGGTTTTACAAGGGTTCATCTTTATCTGTTTAATATTTTCCTTTAAAAGATTATCAACGACTCCAATCTCATTAAACCTAAAGTCATATGCATAAATTTGTATCATGATGGAAAATATACATGGGAGATGGTGACTGGGATGTCCTTTTTCATTTTATATTCTTCCAAGGAGCTTTATTTTGATGCTCAATGTTGTAATTCCTGGCAAACAAAAGCTAAAGCTTAGGGGATAGATTGTACAGGATAAGCACTCCCTTTTATTTTGATCTGTCTTGTTCATTGGAAGTCAAGGAAGTTGTAGTGAAGAGAGTTGTCCAATGTTCAGGACCATCAAGATGGATGTACTTGTTGGAGCATGTATCAGTCAGAACTGACATTCAAATTCTGTAATAAATTGCGAATGTTGTGGAGGTGCAAGAAATGTTCTGTCAGATAAAGGGGACAGGAAGTCCTGAAGTAAATGTAGTCAATTTCTCTATCATTTGTGAGAAACTGTTAGACTTAGTTTACCACATCATTGATTCCGTGTCTTGTGCTTATTTTATTATTTTTTTTAATTTACGTGGGGTGTTCGAGCCAGTTTACGCGTACCACGACTAATCCCCATGGCTCATTGAACATCCTGCAAGCCCAGTGAACAAGGCACCGCGGGGGTGACAGGCGTGCATGGTGAGGTTCGAATCCAGGTGCAGAAGAAGGGGATAAGCCTTTCTCACCGCTAAGTCAGAACCTCACTTGCGTGTCTTGTGCTTATTAGCTTCAAGTGGTGGTGGAATCTTTCACGGGCGGAATTCTTTTGATGTTGGGGTTTCAGTGTATGTTTCCTCACCATGAATTGTTTGCTTCTCTTTCATTTGCAGAATTTCTGTTTGTTTAAGCAGAAATTTGAGCCTTACACCTGTTTAAGTTGATACGAAAGGCTGTTCTCGTAGTTAAGCAGATATGTTTATATTTTAAACCTTTCAATCATTTTTTCAGAAAAATGTTTTTCTCAATTTTTCAAAACAAAATAATACTGGAAAATAAGTTTAAAAAAGAGATTTTTCAGAGAGCTCTTGAATAGTGTTAATTTAGAAGAAAAAAAAACTGTTATAATCTCATGAAAGAGACCTAGCTAACATGGTGTAGTGATCTAATATATGGTGATCCGAGTTTGACCAAGTGATATTAGCAAAGCCCGGTTATTATTTTATTGATTTTTTTATTTTTTATTGAAACGAAGTTGTTATGATTTTTATTTTTTTTCCCCGGCCATCAACCCTAAGGTCTGACATCCAAACTGTAGATTTGTCATGGCAGGGTCTTCCCACGCAGTTCTTCCTCTGCTAGTGATTCCCATTGGACTAGCACTTCCCATACATCGGTATTTGTCAGACTCAGTCAATATTTTGCCACCAAACCCCATGCAAGTATGAAGATGCTAAAGAATTTGGTATCTCCTTGCCAGATAGTAGCCATACCCAGCGAGCTCTTATGGCCTCCTATAATAGCAATCACAACATTAGATGCTGCTGTACATGGTTCACCAGCAATAGATTTGTTAATTATTTTACACTGCTTAACATGAACATAAATAATAGCGTTATGAAGGAAAAGAAGGAAGACAATTTTATTGATTTGCATAAAATTCTTAGATAAAGATAGAGTTTTAGTTTAAAATAAAAATTATAAAATTTAAAAATTATATAACAAATAAATCAAATATGTCCAGATTTATTTCTAAAACCTTGATCTTCAAGTTAAGACCTTTAACAACAAAATCTCCTAATTTTTTGTAACAGGAAAGTCTCTTGATTTTTTTTACAGCTTTTAAGGTATTCTTTTAACACTCTT